TTAGTTTTATATAAGACATATTTTTTATTAAAAGGAATTATTACAAATATGATAAAAAATAAGAATTGACTAGTGTATAAAATATTATAAGTATTTTGATATTCTTTTAGATTATAAAAATTCAATAAATGAGTTTTATGTATTGTCACATTAAGTTTTTTTTAATTATTTAATTCTTACATTCTATGTCTAGTATTAAATAATAATTATTAGCAATATTGTTATTATTAAATAATTTTTTTCTTTTAATTTGAAATATATTATAAATATTCTTGAAGATATAAAAACGATTTGAAACTTCTTTGATTGTATTTTAATCCACTTAATGGAAAATAAAATAATTATTTAATATGTAATCTTGTTTTTTTTTTCAAAAAAGAAGAATTAATTATTGCATTAATATAATTAGACACTCTAACCAAGGAGAGGTGTTTATTCTTGTTTATAAATAACAAATTTTCTTTGGTATATTAAATATTATAAAGTCCTGAAGAAAAATACATAACAGAATTTATTAAAAGATAATACACAAAAAGGTGTCTTCATTTCCAAACAAAGGTAGTTCTTTTGTTGATTAAAATAATGACTTTAATGAAATATTTCTGAAGGTAAATGATAAAAAGAAAAAAAAAAAAATAACAAAATTTTTTTCAGAATTTAATGACAAAAATTTTTTAATTTTTCTTAAAAAACAAAACAATAATTTTTATATAAAATTAAGAAAAATAAAAAATGTTAAATGGAAAATCTTCTGTATCGACCACCTCAAAGCAACTATTCAGAAATCACTGATCAGGATGATAAGACTGTAAGTGAACAAAATGCACTACAAAGAAATGTTAAAAAAACATTGTTTTATATTATTATAGCAACAATAGTATTTATTCCTATTTGTATTTCATTTCATATTGCAACTAGACCACATTCATATACATGCTCTGCCTCAAATAATAAATTGTTTACAAAATATATTGGACCTATGTCAATTGATAACACAAGTTTAATTTTACCAATGTATGGAATTATAACTTTAAAAGGAACCTTTGTTAATAAAAAAAGAATTCCTTTAAGTGTTAATGTCTTTTCTATAGGAGATGATGGAAAGAAAGTAGATAATGGAATTAAGTATGATATTTCTTCGATTCAAGTTCCAGAAAATGATTGTCAAGCTTCAGGAGTTTATTTTACTCAATTTGAAATTTGTAAAACACTTCGGTTTACTCTTGCGGCAAATAAAACAAATGCAAAGACAAGAAATGCTAAAGAAATCATTATTGATAAAGTGATGATTGAGATTGAGTCTCCACCTTCAATTGACCAGGACCAATGTACTTTAGGAATTGAATACATACTAATTGATAACACAAAAATTCAACTGAGTACCATCATTATCCTGATCCTAAAAGTCTTCTTGTATGGAATAGAAAATACTTATTTTATGCATTACATCAAATAGCTCTCAAGTCAA